TTGGAAACAGCTGAGGAGGCTAAAGGGGAGTCCCAGTTCTGTACATTTTTGCATGTTATACATGTTTGCAGAACTGGAGGCCTGTCTCAGCATGTGGAGTAGGTTCTCCCTGGACAACTTCTCTGCCCCCAGTGCAATTAAGTGCACTTAGGGCAGAAAACTGGCAGAGTGTCCCGGTGACTACAGTGTGTGGTCATTTGACCCTTTTGTCAGGAGGCAGCTCTAGATGGAGTACAGCCATCTCCTGATCATCCTGCCATCCCAGGAATTTGCTCTGCTGTATCTCCAGCCAGACAAGGGGGCTGTCAGGACCTGTCAACTGATGTAATCACAGAATTAAAAGTACAGTGTAGGGGGGATCTCGCTTTGTCACCATTTACATCTGGGACAGACTGAAAGTGGTCATGTGGTCCGTCAGATGACCTTGCAATAGATAAAGGACAAGAGCTTCATCTGGTTGAGGTCAATATGGCTTTGTTGAGGCTGGAACAACTCCAGCAATTTCTGTCTACAGGGAACAGGAAGAGTCTAAAGAAGTGAAGTGCCTGCGTTTAGGAAGGGCTGCTGCCAGGCATTGGCTTGAGCTTATCTTGAGGTGTTTGAGCTCACCTCCCAGCTCCCATGGAAGAAGAATGGGAAAAAGTGGTGAGGCTGACACCTTTGCCACCAAGCTTACAAGCCAGCTGGCCTCATCAGCGAGTTGGTTTTGGAGATACATAGAGCAGTAACACGGTCTAGGCAGAAAACAAGACAGGGTTAAAAAATGCTGACACAACAAAATTCTTTTGCTTCTTCTATACCTTCCCAGCCTGCTCAGATTTCATTTGGGAATGAAGCAATACCTGAGGGAGTCTTACAGAGGTTTTCCAAAAGATTTTGAAGTTTCTTAACTGCTTGCAACAGGAATGCTTTTCTTACCCTCATTGCTAGTAGTAGGTTCTAAGACCCTCAGACTGGGGTACCTGGGATGCAGTGTCAGGGAAGTGAGTAGATAGTGAAGCAGTGTTCTGTCATAAATTTGAGGGGGAAAGTAAAGATGTAAAAGATGTGGCAGGCTTTCCCAGCCTGCCCATCCCATGAGAACCAGCAGTGTTTCTAAAAATAGGAAATTCCTCTCAGTGGGAACATCACAAGTCCGTCTCCTTCCCCATTAGATGTCAGGAGCATTAGTTAATCTATACATTGTCAGCTTTGCAGAATACCACACTGTCAAAGCTTAGCAATCCATGAGAGGCACCTTATACCCCTGAATTTCAGCAGTAGCTGTTTCTGTTATTGCACCTATGTTTCAAAGAGGAGGAGGAAGGGAACAAGGTTTAAAGGATTGATTCAGGGGCCAAGTCTAGGTTCTGAAGCTTTTTAATTGTCTGAACTCAACTCTGAATTAAATTAACTGCCTTGTTGCTATTAAAGATGGCAGATCTGACAGTCCCCTCACAGCCAGTGTGTGCGCGAGCACAGGGTGCTGGTGTTAGTGCTAGCAGCTCTCAGCCTCCTACAGCCAGCAGCAGGGCTTTGCAAATGGCCACCAAGCTTTGCTCCAAGGAATGCTGTATAATCCCAGGCAACAAAGCTCAGCACTGGCTCTCTTCCAGGACAGCATGACCATAAAGAGCCCCCTTCTCTCACAGAGCAGCCCATGAAGTTTCCCAGTAGCAGAGCTGCAGGTTTAGGCCTATCAAGCAATTGAGGGTGATGCAGTCTGTCATAGCTGAAGTGCACATCCCTTTGACATGCGGTGACATCAGCAGCACTGACACAGCAGCTGCTGCTGCTCTCAGGCTCTCTAAAAAAGTGTAGCCCAGGAGCTGCCTGCACTGATTTGACCTACTGAGCTCCTGATTCATGCACTACTTTATGGTGGGTGCCCACAGTGTCACGGGTGTGGTAGCCAGACTCCCTAGGATGCACAGGTGTCATCATTTACAGGCTTTGTGGGAAATGTTTCCAGAATGTCCTGGCCCAAAGCACCCTGTCCTTCACTGCTTCTGTATTATCCTTGCCTGGAAGACAGCCATTTCTCTTCTGATCTTTTTTACAGACTGGGGCATGAATCTATGTCCACATTTAAAGAACTAATGATTGCATTGTCTTGTCCCTTGCTCTGCGTCTTTTTTGTTATTTATTGTTTCTAGGGGAGCATGACATGCCCATAGGGGAGTTGTTTATACCAAAACAGTCTTGTCTGCTTTGACAATTTGATAATGATAAAAATGCCATCCACTTGGAAAGCACTGTTCTGGTGTCACATAATGAGCTCAGGCCAGCCTGCTGGGAGGGAAAATGAGGAGGGGATGACTATAACAAAATAAATGAGGACAGAGAGGAGGGCCACAGATCAGGTCATGCAGAGCCAGGACAGGAGTGAGGACTTGCTCATAATTCATCACCTTGTGCAGTGTGCCCTGCTAATGGAGCCACCTCGCAACAGGAACTCGTATGCTTCAGTGGCAGTGCCATCCCTGGGGACTGAGCCTTGCACGCTCTGCTGCCCATCTGTCTCGACCTACATCTGCCCTGAGCTGAGCAGGTTCAGTGACGCCTTGGCCAAGCTGTATTTGATCCCTGTTTCGGGGTAGTACTTCCTGCATATATCCTAAACGCTTCATATTCACTCTCTGTATGCCGCTTTCTCCCTTTCCTGCATTAGCAGTGACCACAAGCTCCTAGCCAGGAGGTAAGGTAAGGACTGGCAGTGTCATTCTCCATTGGCTTGCTTTCCAGTATACACTATTCCAGCATTTTCCCAGCCTTCCACCCAGTTCCATTCTGCTGGCTTTAGTGCAGCCTAGCCATCCCATAACCAAGGGAAAAAACCCTACCCACCAGCTTCACCCTTCTCCTGGGAAAGCTGAATTCCCAAATGACCAGCAGCTTCAGCACCAGGGACACTTAGTCACTCACCAGTCTGACAGCGAGAAGAAAAATGCTAATAGCAACAGTCTTGGGCAGTGTAGAGCTCTCAGCCTGGCTGTGTCTCAAATAGCCATGCTTGGAAGGGAAAGGCAAACACCAAGGGAATTGATGTTCTCCCACTTCATGGAATGCTGTTTAGGGTACAACAGCAACAAAAAATATTTTTTCTGAGGAGCTCTGTCACGTGTGCTAGCAACAGAATGATACAAACTAAAGGCATCCACCCTGAAAGCCTCTAAAAGGGAAGCACTTCAAATATTTGCTGTAATACTCCCCACTGGTGATGTTTGCTTATATTCTGTATTTCACTCTGCCTGGGAGGGTGAAAGTGCACTGGTTAGTTTTGACTTTCTAGTTCACCTCCATTACAGCTGCTCTGCAACCTGCCTGATTTTATCAGTCTCACTAAACACATACTGTTCCACTGATGCTCAGCTCTTACAGGCACACTGTTCTGCACTTCCTCTTAAAAGCTGCAAAAAAATGAGCAGAAAATCTACACAGTTCTCATGTTTATTTCTAGAAATATGTGAAGCCATGGCCTAATTCTTCTGACCTGAAAGCAGCTTGCAAACAAAAAGTCAAAATTATATTTGGCGTTTGAGAAAACCAAACCATTATTTTGTTTGGTACTGGGGGGAGAGGGACTGTCTCCATGATTCGGGTTGGAAATACTGATATATTTTGCAGTTCCAGAACTGGAAGAGCAAAAAAAGTAGCAAAAAAGAGCAAGATTAAACGGCTGCACAGATATAAAGGGCTGTGCTTTTTTCTGTTCCTATTAACATACAGCAAGCATTTAATTTGTGTTACTAAACAAGTCTGATTTTTTTAACAGCTGTGCAGCTTGTCCATTTGTTGTGCACTGTGCACTCCAGAAATATTCTAAGTATCTATTGCATTGAGGGAAGGTGGTCATGCCATCAGCCTCTCATCAATTTGCATTATTTATGCCCATCAGGCATTCTTTCAGCATCCTGAGTAACAGTGGAATGTGTTTCCTGGTCACTGGGAACTATCAGCTACTGGTGGCCATTTCAGGCCAGCTTTTCAACATGATTTCTCCTGAAATTTAAAGTATGAATACAGGAGAATTCAGTTTGTGTTTGGATGCTATAGTAAAAAAACTTCCTTGGAATCCCAACTACACATAGACATTGGTGTGCGCTGACTTCTGTGGAAAGCTTGGCCTGTATTCAGGTGCTTTCTGAGGTCTCAAAATCTGGCTAGAAACTCTTTTCAGAATTGGCCCATGTACCAGGTAATGCTCAGGCCCATCTGTCACAAGTGGCAAAGATATAAACTTATATATGGGACAAGTTCTGGCTGTGTGTACACAGGAGCTAAACAGGCTGTTGTAGGGAAACTTAGCTCTGGACAATGGTCTCCTCAGTTTCGCTCCACCTGATTGGAACATGCCTAGTGGGGTTTCATTCACTTTCCAGTGACATAAAGGGTGAGCCCCATCAGGCTCCCAGTCTCTTCCCCACCCTGAAGCCCTTGCAGTAAACAACATGAAAGTAAAAGGCCACACAGTCTGGGACTCCAGGTACTGGTTAATGTAAATGTTAGCATTGTTGCTAGCTAGAGATCTGCTGTGCTTTGAGTCCTCTTGCCTTTGCTTTGGAAACCTTAAAGCTTCCAAAATATATTTAATGTTTGTATTATTTCCTGGTATGGAGGAGGAGGAAATGTGGAGCACTGGCAGGAAGATGTAGCTCTCTGAATCAGCAGCTCCAGGACAGATTATTTATTTGAGTATAGGCACAGGCAGAAGTGATTGGCAAGTTGGGGCCTGCTCTAGAAATTAGGGCATGCGACATTCAACAAAATCTTTTCATGCCAAAGGCCTTCTGTGTATTTCCCAACACACCCACAGAGATGCATTACAGAAATCTCTTCATATTTTCTCAGAAGGCAGCCACTTCCAGAGAGTAGTCTGGCAGCTTTTTACAAAGGTGTTTTAGGATGAGCTGCAGTGAGGTATCCAGTACCCGTCCCTTGCTTTTCATCATCCCTTTTGTCCTCTCTCCTTGCTGGCACCACCAGCTCCTCCCCTCGAGAGAAACTTGTTCAGATCACTGTTTTTCCATTCAGTCCCACCTGTTTCCTCTCTGATACTCTCACCCAGCACCCTTCTCTCTCTAGGACACCATTACTCTCTGGGTCTCATAACAGCCACCCAACCCAGCTTTCCACTTACTTTGTGTGTCCTCAACGGGATGTGTCACTTCCCCCTCCCTCCCCTCATTTTCTTCTTCTGACCATCGTGTAACCTTCCTTCTCCTTTGCTCACAGCCATCTGTCACATTTGGTTAACACCTGCCCCTCCTGGCACATTCTCCCCCTTCAGTGTGGGCTGCCTGCTTGTTTTGCAATGACTTAAGTCTTCTTCCCTGGACTCTGAAGGGCTTTCAGGCAGGACATTGCTTAGTGAGACTAAGCCTCAAAACCCTCGTAATCAATTATAAAATTTTAAGTCATAAGCTCCCTGGAATCAGCATTCAATTAATTTCATCTCCCCAGAGCTGTTCCCCTCTCTAGGCAGTCAGTGTTCAGAGTGTCAGCTGTCCTGTCTTGGGATGTTGTCAGACAATCAGAGCCAGTCTCCCATTTGACAGATAGGGACACTGCCATAAAACTCTGCCTTATAGAGTGGCACAATCTGGTAAATCTTTCATCTCTACACAGCACCAGCTTTAGAAAGATGAGAGGGAAGCTCCCCATGACTAAAATTCATCAGGAAAGAGGTGAAGTGCTAGAAGCAGCAGCATGATTTACAGCAGTAATAACAGCAAGCTGTAAGGTATCTGGTGCAAAGCAGAACCGTATTTTTTCAGCACTTCTTGATCTGACTGTTTCCATTCAATCCCCCCTGATCTCCACTACCACAGGACCTGTGGCTATGGTTCCACAAGACAGGAAATCAGAAGTATGCTTGCTGCCAGTAAAAAAAAGCACAAACAAACAAAACAAACCTAAACCAACAATCAGTGCAGCTACAGGGTGAGAAGTGCTGAATCAGTGCATGCCCATTCCTTGCTGGTTTAAATTTGCTTTAAAAATCTTACAGCCAGGCAGATTTTGTGCTGGGTCAGGTATGATCCATCTTCCCACAGTCAGCATAAAGACTGTATCATGCCTGATCTGACTTGACAGAATGTAATTGCATAATCCTGCCAGATCTTGGTGAAGTGCATGGTGCCAGGTATTCCAATGGTGCACAGACAAGAATTCATTAGCCCAGCCTGCCTTATGGAGTCTTGGTGGCAGGGTGTCTGCAAGAAGATCATTTTCTCTGCAGGCTGGACCCATTGACAGTCCTGCTGACTTGTCAGCTTTGTGTTAAGTCTGTTGAGTCCTTTTCATGCTGTCAGAAGGAAACCTGTCCCATGAAAAAAAACATCTGATAGAATAAAGATAGAATAAAATGGTTACTGTGTTCATCTTGTCCTCCTAGTACTGTATGATTTGGATTCATTTTCTCTTCACGTTCACCTTATCTGGAGGTTGTGAAAGAAGCTGCATCAGTGATATTAGAGAATGTTTAAATATGCAGCATATTTTTCAACAGGGATGCAAGTACAACAGACAGGAATTACTGAACAGCAAATTCTTCCCTTTACATTTCTGTCTGAACATCCCTGTAATAATGGTTTTGCATTAATGCAGTTTTGGCAAGCAGATGGCTTCCCGGCCACCCTGTAAATTCACAATAAAACCGTGCTGAGTTCCGTGGACAGCTTCACCCATCCCTGAAACACTGCCAAAGCAGAGATAGTGACTGCCTGATTTTGTGAGAGGCCTTAGCAACACCCTACAACACAGGGAGGCGTAGGGAGACATAACGCATTTGCAGTGGAATGAGCAAGGGACACCAGGAAAACTCCTAATTTGACTGCAGAGGAAGATCCATTCTTGGTCTAAGCTCACACAGTAATAAACTGCCAGAAAAAAGGGACAGGCCCAGTGTATCTGTGAAATAAAAAATGGGCGAGGAGGGAAGCAACCAAAGCAAGGCTATAATGCTTAAATTTAGTTACAGAATAAACCTCCTGTTTTCAGCTTTTGAACACCCCCAGCTCCGGCTGGAGCCAGGCAAAATGCCCCGAGTTTTCTGTGCCATTGAAGAGCCCTTCAAAAATGAAAGCTCCAAACTAAACATTAAAATATTAATGTAGGACCTTATTTTTAAGCACCTTTATTAATAGCTTGCCCTTAGCCATTTGCACTGTCATCCTGCTATCTAAATGCTTTAGTAACAATCTACTCTATTATACACTAAAAGCAAGACTAAAAAGTCAACCCCATGAATCACATCTGTAGCAGTTCTCTAGGCACTGTGTATGAAAACACCACTGCAGTCAGTGACTCCAAGTAGACAGTTGTAAACAGAGCCCTATCCCACGTCATGCTGGGTGTTAAGGAACTTTACAGCACTCAGGATAATTTTTCTCTCTTTTCCTCTATAGTGTTTCATCACTTAAGAACAGAATACATACACTTATACCTTGTTTTTTCTGCCAGGTATGTTCATACAGAGGAATGCAGCTGTGATCAGTAGCACTGCACACACAAGGCTTGTTTCTTGCTCAGCTGGGCACTAACAGGGGAGGTTCCCCAGAGCCAGAGCAAAGGGGACATACAAGGGGAGGGGGTGGGTTGGGCTTTTGCCCCAGCATGGGATGTAAATGAGTCCATGGTGATGTTTCAGAGCAGTCAAGAGCAGGTGTTACTCTCCAGGGCTTTGTTCTCTCTTTAATAGAGATATGCAGGACAGCTGTCAGGAGAATATCTCTGAACAAGCAAAGAAGCCAGGAAAGAAAGTCTGCTAATCAATCTAGATACATAATGAAGTCCACAGGGACATCCAACACTCATTGTATGTTAGTGTAGCAGCTGGGAATACACAAAGGGTCTGAGCAGATATTAATTTCCTTTTCTTGCTGGGTAGAGCAACATTTTTTTTTGTTAATAGGAAAGAGAGGCTCAGGAAATAGATACCTTCTAAGTGCTACTGTGGATGCAGGGTTGATACAGGATAAAAATCATGAGAGCTAAGCACCTAGAGATACTTTTGGGCAAACCTTGAGACCCAGGCTAAGGGCAATCTCCCAAGTCCTTAGCTAATACAAAAATTACGATTACACTTTTTTTCTATACCTCCCTTCTTTTAAATAATCAGTTCCCACTTACACTAAATCCCTGCAAGGGCTGACTGTCAGGTGCAGACACTTTCCCCAACTCACCCTAGCCCCTATTAACACAACAGAGAGCGTAACAGTGACTGTTCCTCTACCGTCAGAGAGGAACCATCTACATGATCTGTGACGGGACATCACTGTAGCATTACAAGGTAGCCTAGAGAGCATGACTCTTTTCCACTTGATTCTCCCAAGAAAAAGACTGGACAAAGTAGCTGTGGTACAATTCAAACATGTGCCAGTTTGACAAGAAAACATCCCAGTCCATGAGATTTCACAAGGTTAAATGCACAAACATCTCCAAATAAAGTCACCCTGACTCACTGCTTCCATGATGAAAAAGCAAGCTGTGTAGCTCTGCGTATGAAGAATAAACTGTCCTGCCATGCCAAATGACTTCCAGCCCTGGCAGAAGTGAACATAAAGTCTGTGTATTTTCTAGCAAAGTTTGAGGGGATATGGAAGGTCCCTGTTTGTACATCCATTGATCTGCTTGCAGAGGGACAGCTGACAGCCTGAACCCAGGCCAAGTGAAGTGAGGTATCGGCATCGACTTTGTCCTGCTGCCACTGCCCCCAGCACAGGTTAGGAAGGAGTCAGCATGCTGATCGTTGCAGCAGATTTGCAAATAGAGTAGTGGAGTAGAACTCCCTGCAGCCAGAACACCTGAGGTTAAAAAGCTGAGGTTAGCACCTAAGGTAAAAAAAGGCTGTTAATATCTGAAGCAGGATCAAGTTTATTTCAGTTTTAAAAAACTGATTTGTGACTGCGTTTGAGGTCAGACACACAGACTGAGCAAGATACGCAGCTATCAATGTAATATATTAAATGCTCAGCAGGCCTTTGCCAAAGCTAATACTGATTCTAAATTCTCTGAAGTTCTGAGCATCAAATGAAGCTGAGCAAAGAGCCAGTGCCCAGCATTGCTTGCTCTTGTTAGAGGAGACATTCATGTCCTAGTAAGCAGAAGGACACTGGTGGGACATACATCTGGCTTTCATTTGAGATTTCTGTAGATCCCATGGAAGAGAACAGCAAAATGTGCACATCCAAGAACTCACACCTCACATACCCACACTCTGCTACCCCCTTTTCCTGTAAGGAGCAAACTGTAATTGACCAAAGCTGAACATTGCCCAGTAATAAGAATTTGTGATTGTATAAAAGTTCTCAGTGGCAAAACGTTAATACCAATTTATCCAGATGAAGATAAAGTTCACACAGGCTTTACTCCTGACATGAGAGCCAGGATTTCACTCCAGTTTTCTTAGTCAAGTGGAAGAAAAGGCCAGTGTGAAAAAACAAAGATCAGAGATCAGCTATCCTCTCTTCTGTAGTTCCAGTCTAATGATGGGGACGCATTGGTTGCCCTCTAGGATTTAGAGAGGACAGAAGAAAAAAAAAGGAAGAAGAAGAAAGGGGAGCAGGAGGAAAAAGCACCAAACTAATTATCATGTATTTATTCATGAAAGCCAAGATTAAAATAGTATATTAAAGGATTTGCATGCAAATAGCATTTGCTCTGTCCTGATTTCCCTTAACAAAGTGCAGCAGTCCGGTGACTCAGATAACCCCAAATGTCACACAGCATAGGAGAGCCTGACAGAGCAGGGGGAGAGAGCCAACCAGTCTCTCACCAAGACTTTAAAGAAGGATAAAAAACAACACCACAGAGGTAGGAAAAAAAGTAATATTGTTGCTGTAATTACTATTGTTTTAGGGACTTCTCCACACGCTATTTATCATGCCCTGTACTGGCTAGAGGTGGACCCAGTCTGACACTGAATCCATTGTCTTTAGTCCTGAGGCATGTGAAATTTGAACCCACCGTTCCTGGCCTGTGTCTGCCTCTGGTGTTCACAGCAATGCTGTCTGCTAAGCATCAAGCTCTTGGCTAAGTGAACACAAATCATTTGGCTTTGTGCACATGCAGCAGGTATGACAGGATGATTACTCTGGTAAGGAAGGTTATTTGTATGCTGGGTTTTGAAGTGGATGGGACAAACTTAGTCTTGCACAACTAGACAAGACCTGAGATTTATTAAGCAGTGGAGATACACATCACAAACCAGTCTGGGTGCACGCATTGCAATTATCCAGCTTTCTACAGCCTTTGTAGGCCATGCTGATGGCAAGTCACTCACAAGCTAGATCTCTCTTGTTGCCACATACAAGACTTCTGCAGAAGGAGTTTGAATACAGCAGTTGCTCCTTGTTGTGCATTTGAATGAAGATCTGGAGCACAAGTTCAAGACTTCTTTGGGTGACCTCTTAATGTGGGGAGGACAAGAGATGTCCTAACTGTGCTGTGACTTCTACATGAAGGACAGTGCCTCATCTCCTTATCAAGCTACCTGCTCTACTGGGAAGGCCACTTTCTTGCAAGATTACCCTCAGCTACAAATGTAGTTTGAGTATAGCAAGTAAGCTCTCTACTCCCATGTTTGCTGCATCTCTGCTCTTCCTCCTCCTCTTGCAGGTTATGACTTCGCTGCTGTACTAGAGTGGTTTGCAGAGCGGGTTGACCGCATCATTCTCCTCTTTGATGCTCACAAGCTGGACATCTCTGATGAATTCTCTGAGGTCATCAAGGCCCTGAAGAACCATGAGGACAAGATGAGAGTTGTTCTCAACAAGGCCGACCAGATCGAGACTCAGCAGCTGATGAGGGTGTACGGTGCCCTCATGTGGTCCCTGGGAAAGATCGTCAACACTCCTGAGGTCATCAGAGTCTACATCGGCTCCTTCTGGTCCCATCCATTGCTCATCCCCGACAACCGCAAGTTGTTCGAGGCAGAGGAGCAGGACCTGTTCAGGGATATCCAGAGCCTGCCCCGCAACGCAGCCCTGAGGAAGCTGAATGATCTCATCAAGCGAGCACGGCTGGCCAAGGTAGGTGATGGCATAGAAGCCCCAAGCATTCGGTTTGGGCTGCCTGCAGCATGCAGCCTATGGAGAAATGGTTTTGGCCAGTTCAGCTTGCAGAGCTGGTGGATCCTACTCTTTCTCCATCCCATTTAACTCAGGCCCGGCATGTGAGCCCTGTGCCAATATGGGAAGAAAAGCAACTCCTTTGGTGTGTCAATCATGGCAGGCCAGAGTGAGGAAGGTAACTACAGATCAAAGCAGGTAGCACTTGAAGGGATCTGGAAAGCAGTTGTTCTGTGATAGCAACTTATAA